TCATCTTATTGGGCTATTCATCATCTTATTGGGATATTCGTCATCTTATTGGGCTATTCGTCATCCGTTGGGCTATTCGTCTTATTGGGCTATTCGTCTTATTGGGCTATTCGTCTTATTGGGCTATTCGTCTTACTGGGCTATTCATCTTATTGGGCTATTCCATCTTATTGGGCTATTCGTCTTATTGGGCTATTCCATCTTATTGGGCTATTCCATCTTATTGGCCTATTCGTCTTATTGGGCAAATCGTCTTTCATTCGGTTTCACTTCGTGAGCGGGCTGTGTCCGGTCTGCGGTATTACACACGAAAATAGTAACCAGGCTCAACGCGTTCGAAATAGTCACATTCGAAGAGCGCGACATTTTCCAATACCGTATACAGTATATTAGGTTATAATTTTTCAAGAAACAAGACGAAAAAAATAGTCAAATGCCTGTGTGCCCGGTGAACTTCTTGAGCACATTTTAAAATATCATTATTCTACAAAAAAATTTGAAATCCTTCGAGTACAGCTCGATTTGCAACGGCCACTAGCTCTTATCATCAACACGGTAACAGCACATGAGAGCTGATAAAAAATATATCAGATGTGATGACTCTATATCAAGGATGACTGGCTTAGCTTATAGGGATACTGTACATGTATATGCAGAAAAAGCCTGTATATTAAAGGAATCTGTGCAATGGCAGGCTGGATCTTCTTGGTGTGTTGCTTTGGTCCTACAACTTACATCCATTTCCAAAAAGTCATGATCTAAACCCACTGCTTGTTGTCTGGCACATAGACGACAAAGAAATTTTGATAAGGTATATAGCACAAAGACAACTATTTTATACTTTTGAAAGTTTCTATTCCTCTTTGAAAGGAAATGAAGTGAAATGCAATGAAATTTAATGTGTAAAATGAATGTAAATAAGTGATTTAAATATTTCAATAATTTAACTTTGTTACGAAATTCACCACACAAACTATAACAATAAAGGCAAACAAACTACAACAATGTAGATTTCACATAAGCGCTCTTAAAAAAGCACTTATGTGAAATCGGTCTAAAATACAATATTAACCTTCAATAAATGTTAGCATGCAAATCTTTTTATTTAGTTGAGAGCTTATTATTTCAGTTAATTACTTTAAATACTAAAACTTTCCCAAGTCTGATCCAAGCAAAAAAGATATAGATTTAGTATTTATTTATTTCGACTTACCGGCGTTTGCATTGCTACACTGCCACCCCAGACAAAAATCGCAACGTGCACTTTGCAATAGACTGCCGTCAATCAAACACGTTGATGCCATTTACATGCAAGTGTGATTCAAAAGGTGCCAAAACTTTGGTCAATTGTTTACAAGCATTATGAGCCACACTCACCGGGCCTATCCAGGCCGATCCAAACGCGTGTAAATGACGTCAACATGTTTGATTGACGGCAGTCTATTGCAAAGTGCACGTCACAATTTTTGTCTGGAGTGGCCACATAATGACTTTATATTGCACAGGTGAAAATTTGTAATAGCGTTTTTGACAGATGTCTTGATTATGCATCATTGAATTGAAATGCAGACAAGCCTATGCAAGTTGTTTGATGGAAAAACTTTTTTTTTTTTGGACTAATATTTATCATTTTTCCAATCTAACCAGAGCTAACTGTGAAAAATGCTATTAATTGTTGTGTACTTACTAGAGCAAAATAAGCTTTCTCAAGTGTTTTTTTCCTAGTCTTCGATCTATTACAGACTACGTAGATTTGCTATGGCCGACAATATTTCCATTGATAATGCCTGTAATATATACTCACCAGGATTTCCTTTGTTCCTTGGTTCATTTATATACATGTACAGTATGCATGTGATTCAAATGCAGTGGCACATTAAGAAAAATAGCAAACTAAGAGATAATTGCAACAAGCATAAACAACAGCTTAATCTTGAAATTCTGAAGAAATATGCATAAAAGTTTTGCATGCTGGAAAACAATACAATGTCATAGTAGGCATTTGGGTTTATTTGTCATCATTTTAAAATCAAAACACTGATTACTATGAGGAAACAAATTTGCAATAACCTTTCTATAAACCCTGAGTAAGATAATATTATGTTTTATACAGGATATTTTACTAACCCAGTAAATTTTCGTATATTTAATAATGCCTACTATGACACCACACTCATTAGCATACTGGAAGTATAAACCTTGATATCTTGAAGATGCATCACTCAAATCATATAAAAATATTTTACTATTTAACTTTTAACTTCATGTAGAATCAATGCTGAAAACATCGAGTTAGGTGTCATAGGCACTTTACTATCAAAATTTGTTTATTATATTTTTGTCTGAAGTCAAACTTGCTGAAATGGCCTGATAATAGAACAAACAAAGCCCTACTAGATCCAGATTCAAAATTGCTTACCAGGGGTTAAAATGACGGCCAGACATTGAACAATGTCTGCCCAGAATTGGAATTGGAACAAATCTTTGCTTTGCTGGTCATTTTGACCAGAACAAGGTATATATGACCAAGCTAAAATGAATTTGGCCTGTATTCATGACTGGCGACTTACTTGTCATTATTTTAAGCCCTGGTTGGGTACTACTAATTGCCCTATTTCACTATGATGTCACATCAAAACAATCTATTGTTTAAATGCAAAGGATCATGGTCGTCGGAGGGGGTCAAATCAACGCAAATTCACCAAAAATTGTTCTAAAACCCGTATCAATCCATGAAGAGAAGTAGAATAGCCAGCAAACTCTCAGAATATTTTTAGTACATATTAACACATGATATCTGAAAACCAGGCTATTTTAGATTAAACTGTTTCGCTAGGAGCAAATTTTGTTGAATTTTCTATTGGATTTAGYGATTCTATCCCCCACATAAACGAGAAGTGATGTCATAGTGAAATAGGGCAATTCTCTCCCTTCCTGTCAGTGCAACAGTTTATGGCAGATTTTAAAAACAAGCAGACATCAAAACATAAGAAACAGCTTGTCTATAACTTTTACCTGGTTCTCTTTTGTGTATTTGTTGTCTGCAGTGAATGTATTATGAAATAATAATGTTGATTTTATTCATGGATTTTAGGGTTTGCCTTCAAGAAAAAAATTAACCACTCGTTTTTAAAATCTACCATAACCTGTTGCTTGTGCAGACAAAGTTATATCCATTTTATGTTGAATTCTTTAAACTTTGTTGCATCAACTGGAAGGGACAGGATACCCAAGCATGCTTCTGGGTCTGGTAGGGCTTTGTCTATCCTATTAAATCTTATGTATATAGGTTGTTCTGGGTATTCTGGGCTGCCCAGCACAAATTGAAGAAATCTTCCAGTGGTTGGGGCATATTTGTCATCTGCGCTC